GCTCGACTGGGGACGGTGCGTTGGGCTCCCCAACAGTCGTCGTCGACATGTCCGTATAACTGCATACGGGATGGCTCCCCGCTTTTCGCTTCTTTTACCTCTGCTCTTCCCGTCGGTTGTTTTGGGGTCGGGATGGAGGACTCGTTCATCTAGAAAGGCCCGGCCGATGAAAGGGACTACCAACGCCACGCTTCAGGGAAACCGAGGTCAACCTAGAGGTATGTACCACAGACCTCCTTCATTACCCATCTCCGCGGTCATTGGCTGGCTGGACGACAGGGGCCTTTGGTTGAGAGTGACATCGCCCGAGCCGGTTATTGCGACTTTGTAATCGGTTCCTGCGGCTGTGTGGCTTGGTACATAGTGTACACTACTATTATTAGTCTGCGTCGCCAAAGTCGCGACAACCATCATTACCAGTCATCGTTTTTGAACCGCGACAACGAAAGCTTGAAAACACTTCTTTTCGGGCGGAAAACTCACATACATATGCGGAGAGCTCTCGCCGGCTGCCTACACCCCTATGGTAGAACTAACCTTAACGCCTAATACTAACCGCTGATACACTACTAACAACTAATGTGGGTTACGGGAGATGACTTATACCTTTGCTCCATACGGTCGCAACAACCGGCTCGATATCGCCGTCATAGCGAGGCCGAACATAGTCAAAGCATCGATGCTAACAGCGTCCGATCCCCCCTTGCCAGTACCACGGTGACGGATGGTTACCCCATGCTTTTGGAGAGAAGACCCCCTGGTAATAAATGCATACCATTCGGAGCGGAGTGTCTCCAGAGAGTATGTACGTACTGGAGATGAACAGGCCTAGAGGCCAATGGCGAACTCATGAAAGGAAGGTCCAAGCGGCGGCTTCAATCCGTCATCCCCCGATTCTTTTGTTCCTTTTCCTGTCAGAATAACCTCCTGCTTTGGTTCTCCTTCCAGCCCTTCTACCCCGGCCGTGCCTGCATACTCTGTTGCACTCCCAAGTCACTACCGCAGCATCGCGTATCCACCTGCATGCTTCACCTGTGCTGAGATTAGACGACGGAACTCTCGGTCTCATACCTGTTGAGGGCCCGAGTCTCGGCTGCCGTCTTTGTGTCGCACGTTTCGACAGCACTTGTTTCTCTCCACTGAATACTGGTCTACTCAGTACTGGGAACCCACCATTTGAAGGCTCGTGCCTGGATGATGGATCTGCTCCCATGCTCCAGGTCCGGGGACTTGTAGCTTGCGAGGGAACTAGGCCACCCTACCTAACCTTCAGGTGGGGAGTTACGATGAGAAATCTAAAGCATCTATCAGTCTCGAGGGTTGCTGCTCTATGATATACTCCCCTCTCCTAGTCGATATACCTACATGGGGTCCCGTGCTAGTCCCTTCAACCCTGTCTGGTAGCCAACCACGGTCTCGACTCAGGGCAAGGTCTGTCCTAATTCCAGTCTACGTGCATGACTTATATACCATCCATTGTACCCCTAGCCCGTCATCGCTGTGAAGAGCGTTGTTTGTTCCTTGGCCTCATCCAGCTTTCTGTACATCTGGTTGGTCTCACGAGTTTGGTCATTAATCTCTAACACGGCTCGAACGACCCGTCCGACTCATGGCTCATATTGTTAGCTGTATGCTGGACTCCGACTCCGAGGATTTCAGCCTTTACCTCAACAACTACATAGCAAAGGAAGTCACTCCACAATCATCCAATGAATCGGTACGTCACTCCGGGCCCACAAGATCAAGCGGAAAACCGGCCAATGCTTACTTACACATTTATCCAAACTACAGTTAGGTCGAGCTTCGCCGTCAGAGGATAAACCGTTTACTTGGAGGATGTTTCACCCAGAAAAAAGATATCAGCAGTGCTCCAAAGACACGCAGTCGACAGTCTCTGAGAAGTCAGTTGATCCAGAGCAGTTCTCTGTCCTGAACATGGGATCAAACAGCGAGATTGGTGGAAGGTCCAATGCTGGATTTAGTTTGAGAATACAAGTAAAGGAGCAGAACCTTACTAGCAGGCGGAAAGTGAGCGTGCCTGAACTTGGCCCAATGACGACCGTCCAAGAGGCAGCCATGGATTCCCGTATGTTTACCCTAGATGGATTTTTTTTTTTTTTTTTTTTTTTTTTTTTTTTTTTTTTTTTTTTTTTTTTTTTTCATTCATGCTGACAAGTGGTCCCAGCCACCATTCCCGGCCGTCCGGCTCTCCATGAACGTTCAATTAGTGCCCCAGGCCTTCCATCAAGACCTAATCAGGGTAAGGGGCCATTCAAGGATCGAGTGCCCATTGAGCGAGCGCAGCCTGATGCCGCCCGCCAATGTATTAATCGAAGCCAACGAGTTCATAACGAGGCTAGACAGCCTTTTTCGCCCAGGAATCTCACTCCTCTTGTGATTCCGACGCTTAGCTCTGCCACCCAAAGACTCCACCAGAAGACGTCGAGCAGCCGTCTCCGAGCAGGTACCGCGCCGGTAGACTCCACGATTCGGGCAGCAAAATTCGAGGGTTCTCCTAAAGCGCGGACGCCATTCACGCCCCTTTCAGCTACTTCAAGCGCCCCGAGATCTGCAGCAACAAGTGCCGGGACTGCTTCCACACTGCCAACGCCTATATCAGCATCCACCGACATCAGATCTTCGCCGATGCCATGGGATAAGGTTGACAACAATGTGCCAAAAAGCTCCATTGAATGCACACGTGGGTTCCCATTGGTACTCGGGACGGGCATCGCCGATAGCCCTCAGAGTGTCTCGAACATCGGGCACAAGAGGAGTCAGTCAGAAACGGGAAGCATCATGGAACGGGGCCGACCACGGAAAAGGAGTGAGACATGCGGGGCTACCGTCTTGAACAGGTCATGCTCCAAAAGGAGTAAGAGCGCAGAACGGCGCGCATTTGAACAATTGCCAAAGGGGTGGAAGGCCAGCGATGCGGTTAAAATGCTCAAGCCTAACGAAACTGCTGCTCTACAGAAGCAGGCTCTTCAACAGGCTGCTAGGTTCGAGGTACTGCGCAAGGAAGACGTCGATAACCTCTCGAAGGTGAGCTTACCCTCGACCGCGTACCTTGGTTTGTGACTAACAGCATGTTAGGAGCTACGGCAGCTAGATGAACGGACTGAATATCTTAGACGCACCTACACATCCCTCCGTGCTGGTCGACGTAATCTACATGCTCGGATCTGCCAGTACCTTCGGTCTCCTCGCACAGCCAAGTTCAGCCAAGAGTCCATGCTGAAGCAAGAAGAGGCTCTTGCAGAGCTCGACGCTTCAATAGACGACTGGATAACCAAGCTCGATCAAGCTGAGAATCGCCGGACTCGAGTTCGGCAGAAACTTCTTGAGCATGTTGCCGCGGCCACCACACTCTCCATGACCCCTGGATCTGTGGCCGGCGTAAGCGAGAGTCTGCAGTGCGCCATGGGGATCCGCTCCTTGGGCTCTGCTACGAATGGCGCCGGTAATATCTCCACGCCTCCTCGCAGTCCAGCGAAGATGTCCTTTTCCTCTCACATCATGTCCGCATTTACACCATCTTCGCCGCCGAGAGTGGCTGCTCATGTGCCTTCCACCATTATGGAACAGCCATTCTATGAAGAGGAAGATGTTGCGAGCGAAGAGCAAGGCGCCAGTTCTCGGCGTGCTGAAACCATCATGGTCTTTGCAGGCAGCGATGTCTCTGCCCTCTTGGCTGATGTGGAAAATGCGCTCACCCATATGGGTGGCGACAGTCTCCTTGCTGATAGGGAAAAGCGGCATACAGTCAAGGTCGAGGTATATTCTCCGGTTACAAAGGAATATCCAGTAAAGGAGGAAGAGCCGGCAGTCACAGATGAGACGCTCCCCCCCGCTCCGCCCCCCTCAGACAGCCGGCGGAAACACATACACCGCACCATGAGCATCGATATGCTCAACGGGCTTCGTGGTAAGCCTTCACTCGCCGTCGATACAGCGGAAATGCCCATACAGAGCTGCAAAGGCGGCGCCAACAGTAACAACACAACATGTCAGTCGGCTACCACAGCACGCGTTGTTAATAGCGAGGAGATCTTCCTCACTAATGCTGTCTTCCGGCCGCCACCGAAGTAGCACTGTGGCTCTTGTAGCTTCATCGCCATGTATCTCCTCGTCTTGTGGTGATGCACTCTCACATACAAACATTTGTACAAACCGACTTTTTTCTAATGTTTAATGTAATTTCTAGCGCTATGTCTGTCCTTGTCTCTTGACTTCATTTCTTTCTTGGTTCACAACCGAACGCTGGAGTTTATGGATGGTGGAGGGTGGGCAACGGGGAAAGTGTGGTAAACACGATATTCAGTGTGCGACTGGCCAGGAATTACATACCCAAATGATACCCCCTTAAATAGCCGGTTACTATAGTCGATAAATGATATCTCGGGGAGTTCAATAATCCTGCAGATTGAGTTATTCATGTTTCTGTCGCATGATATTGTTATGTACTTTTGATCACTATTGTTGATGAACCAAGCGGACAAGTAATAGTTGCTTGATGCAATATAACGTTGCCAACGAGTATCATCTAATACATACGACCACAGATGGTAGAAAACTCGGGATCCCGTCCGCTCTCCCATAGATAAGCTACCAATCGCCTGACTAGTAGTTGGGTCGGTGACGACCAGCGAATCCCAGGTGTTGTATGTTTTTTTTCCTGTAATTTTGTAGTTTTCGATCTTTATCTCTCTCTCTCTCTCTCTCTCTGTCATTCCCATGTACAATTCCCCGAAGTCTACACGCAATTACCTACAAACTCTGTGGTTCACGCCCCAGTCCGATGTTATGCTATGTAGCATATCGGTAGCCTCATATGTAGGCGGCCCTTTGCAACGCTCTGTCTAGCAGTGTGGCCCCCTAGATCCTAACTCTTACCATACATACCCTTATCCCTTCAACCTGAACCGAGAATTCCAAGAAAAAGCTTCCTGCGAAGTGAATCCCCCATCACTGAACTGGTATTTCCCTCGTTTCCCCGGTCAGATGTCGGAGTGTCTCACAAAATGATACGCACAAAGGTAACAGCAGATATGGCAAGTACTATTCATATTTCATTTCAAGCGTACAGAGGCAAAGCAAGCACATTACATCTGCTTCCTTTCAATCTAATCACGCCTTCAACCTCGAATATCTACCGTCCCTTTGAGTGGTAAATCTCTGCTGCTCCCCCCAACTTCGACCACGTACTCCCCTCCCTTCTTCAGCCTCCACCTCTGCCTCACCGTGTCCCACACGCTCAGATCCCCCCTCGTCAACTTAAACTCAACCGTCTCCGTCCCTGCAGCACTCACAAACACCTTGTCAAATCCCCTCAGCTGCCTCACCGGCGCCCCCTCATCCGGAATCCCAACATAAAGCTGCGCGACCTCGGCTCCATCACGACCGCCCGTGTTGGTGATCTCAGCCTTTACACGAATAAGCACATCCCACAGGTCAATCCACTGCCCTCCCTCGCGGACTTCGCCAGTGGGGAGTTCATTCGTGTTCGCATCACCGGCTCGCTTAACGGAGAGGTTACCGTAGGAAAAAGTGGTATAGCTCAAGCCGAAGCCGGACTCGAAGCGCGGCGTGATGTTCTTGGCGTCAAAGTGACGATAGTCAAGAAGGCGCCCTCGGAGAAGTTGCTCTGGGGAAATTTGCGGAACATGCCGGCGCCAGGGAGATCGGGTCCGAAAACGGCATAGTCGGACTCGTTGCGTGCAATGGTGTAAGGAAAGCTTGCTGGAGGGGTTTGAGTCGCCGTAGAGCAACGAGACGAGCGCCTTGCCCGAGGCTTCGCCGGGGAGATGGGCGAAGATGAGGGCGGTGACGTTGGGGCGGTCGATGAACTAGTCGACGAGGCGGATTCCAGCGTTATAGAAGACGACGATGGTATTATTGCACTGGTCGGCGACGTGCTTGATGAGCCTGTCGGTGTAGTCGTTGCGCGCGCCAGGGCGGTCGGCGCCCTCAGCTGCGTAGGTGTTGCCGATGACAAGGCAGGCATCTGGGGCCGGGTTGACGGCGGGATTGCCGTTATGGAAGTCCCAGAACAACGCGGTGCCGTCTTCGTAGGCCCGGTGGACGATGGCTTCGAAGGGTGAGACGGCGAGCAATTGGGAGGTGGCACCGGAGCCGCCGCCGGAATAGAGCGTGCCATTGAAAGCAATGGGGGTGTTACCTACCGCGGCGCTGCCAAAGAATCCGCTAGTAAACTCATCGTAGTTGAATGATTCTGCCCCGAAAACCCATGCAGATGAAGCAATCGCTGGTCCAAATTGTGGTCGGGGTTCTTGGCGGAGTACCCGAAGACAGATAACAATACGGGGCTGCTTAAGGGCAAGGCGCTACGCGTGTTTTTCACGAGGACATGACCCTCAACCGCACCGTCAAATAACGTGGAGCGGAAGGTCGAGTTTCTGGCGTCAACTATCATGTGAGGTTTCGTAATATCGCTAACCATGCCGATACCGGGTGTAGGAAAGTGCGTGTCCTGACCCATCTTATACCAAGATGCCATGATCCTAGTTACCATGTCGTATACTCTGGATTCAGGAACAGAACCGTTCTTCACCGCATCCACAAGCTTAGATCCCCAGAACTCATCCCTTTCCGGCATGGTCATGTCTAGTCCCGCCAAAGCCGTGGCAACACCGGCGTGCTGGGCACTCCAGTCAGAGACCACAAAACCCTCGAAACCTAGTTCTGTCTTGAGCAGGCCGTTGAGGAACTTGCTGTTCGCGCAGCCATATGAGTTGTTCAGCCGGTTATATGAACACATGATGTTACCTGTACCGGCAAGGCCAGAGATAGAACTCATGCATTGTTTTGTCGTCAATATTCGATGATACCGACTCCATGCTGTCGGCAGGCATTCGGTATGATTCTTGTTCGTTCGCGATATAATGCTAGTCTGATATTAGCGGCCTGTTAGCTTTTTAAGCATAGGGACGTTAACTTGCCTTGACGCTGGTGATGACACCAACGTTTTGAGTCGCTTCAACGGTTTTGTACACAAGAGCCCCTGCCAGATATGGATCGGAAGAGAAACCTAGTCCACAATCATCAATACTCAGCCCTTCCTGTGGGTTACTGACAGTAAGTGACAAACCTTCCCAGTTGCGGCCACTTAATACCACGCGGCCCATAGGCCCAACAACGGGCCCAAGGAGCACATTCACTCCTTTATTGTTGAACTCGCTACCCATGCCGGTCCCTCGCTGGTATGCGAGCGACTTGTTCCAGCTCGCACCAACATGGAGACCGCTCGACCAACTGCTGACAAAATCGGTATTTCTTAGGCCGTTTCCGGCATCGCTCAGGCACATTCCGGGGAAACCTATACGGGATATAGGCCGGATGAAGCCAGAGCAACTCGTGTTAGATTGGAGGCCGGTCGTTAGATGGACCTGTGTGGTGGCGAATATGTCAGAAATGTAATCCGAAACAAGCTCAATAACACTGCCATCTCAACATATGGCAGCCAGTACCTTCTCATCAAGTGTCGTTCGACCAACTTGTTCCTTGGCCTTCTTGTACGAGGATGCCCAAGCTCCAGTGCCGGTCATGTTTGCTGTGTGGCAAATCAGCCTTCTGTCTTCAACGGTGAACCCGTGCATATAACCGGTTTCGAATTGAAGCCTGCGTACGTACGTGAAGGATAGACCGGTGGTGACTGGCCATAGAAATGTTCGTCACTGGTGATCGAATATCCTGAGTTACCTGCCCCACCTCCCGCCTCGGCTGTGCCCTTGTTTCCTTTCCTTGGTAGAGTCGCCAGTCCTGCTATACCTGCACCGATAATGACGAGGATGACCGCCACTATGATGGCAATCCCGCGCTTCGTCTTAAGGAAAGGGAAGTGGCGTGTGATCCATGAGACGCCTCCTGATTTGGTATCCAGCGGAGGTGAACCCCTAGACAAGTAAATGTCAGAAACATGCTCGCCGGTAGAAGCGACGGCATTTACCTTTTGATTTTCTGCACTTGCCATGTTGACAGTTGATGTCGAGGTGGTGTTAGCTCGCCATACCCTTTGAACACTCTTGATTGTCACTCCTTCCGAATAGTGAAGAACCGATTCAAAGCTTACTTCGTGGTGAAATTCGGTGGAATAAAATCCTATTCCATCTTTAACTTCCCAAGTCCTTGAAATCGGTATCCGAAGGAGTCCAGCGCGTTCAGGACAAGCTCAGCGGGCCCCGACAAGAATTCGATTGTCCTTTTTTGAGCAGTACTGCTTTATGCTGAAACACTCCTCGGTGGATTCCGTATGTTCGATACGATCGTCCTCGTTTCAGGTTGCAAAAATCGACGACAATCGCCAAAAATATAAACAGAAGAGGGGAGGTTGTCAGAGACAGGTTGCAAACAGATGGCGTTGACGATATCAAAGAATTGCCAAACGAGCGCCGAAATAAACGAGCTATTTCGAAAACGAAAGAACTCCAATAATGGCTAGGTTCCTGAGGTTCGAGAAAGTTGAGGCAGGTGGACCCAACCGGAAACCTTCTCCGTGTTGTCATGGAGCGATGAACAGTCGTCGTCAACTCGTTGGCCGGAGACCGAGTCGGGACCCCGTAAACCGAACGCGTTGAACGCAGGTTTAGCTTGAGCCCACGCGGGGGGACTGTAATCGGGCGTCGGATTTAATGAGTTTATGTGGAGGAGAAGGTAGCAAAAGCGATCTACCTAGTAAGTGACAGAGCCCACATTTCCTAATGGCCCAATCCGCGATGGTCCCCATGGTGCAGCCACTTCAGAGCGCGCCGTCTAAGGAGCCGCGCTTGCAGTGGCCTCGGCTGGTTTAATGCCCGGGAGTGTCAGGTGTAGAGGTAGCCCGCCGGTGCAAACAGCTCCCATGCCGCTACACCAATGGATGCCCGGTCTTGACAGGCACTTCGAGAGGCATCTAGAGGTACGTAACTTGTCAACTTCTATCTATCAAATAGATAGCTACCTAGCACGCAGCTTTCCATGTATGGATGTCCAATGGCGGCCTTCAACTGGGAACTTTCTGCAACGCGCAAACAGTTCTTTAGGTTTCATGAATGACAGCACCAACAGCCAATAGGAACCTCTCAGTCCTCACTAAGGTCCTTCATGTCGTGCACGGATGCTGGACCGATTACTGTCCCATCGATGCCAAGGTCAGCCTCAAGGTGCGTGCAGACACCTAGGTGCCCTGAATCCGTCCTGTCCCTGCAGCAGCGGCCCCGTGGCGTCCTCCCACGCGACGCAGGGATGGGGCCAAGCAAGGGAAACTCCAGGGGCATGCAGAAATCAAGTACCTTACGAACCGATCGGTTCGAACTCCACAACCATTCGAAGATTCCCAACATTAGGATATGTTGGGATGAACGGGGATAGCGTGAAAATATAAAACCAACCGACTACAACCGCACCCGCCTTGGGAAAATCGTAGTTGGATGTGGGACAGGTCGAATGACGTAAGTGCCACTTGCATATGTAGGTACCATGGGAACCCTGATATCAACCTGACCTGGAAGCTGTTTGCTTTTGACGAAGAAGGGGGGTTCCCAAAGGGAAAGAGAAATCTAGCGAGCACGAGCGAAGGAAAAGCATAGTGACGGGTTCAATTGAATACATATGGTCTGAGCACCACAACAATTCCCGTATGAAGACGAACGATACGCGGATAGTCCAGCGCAATGAATGGGAATGGCGACAATGACCCACTTCCGGCCGAATGAAACGCTTCGTGATTGTGGGTACCTCGTCATTCAGTTTGATGGATGTCAAGTCTGGTTGTTCCCCACAACGCCAGCCATGTGTCTTTTAAACTTTTCACCTTTCTCTTTACACTATTGTACACTATTATACACTAGTGTTCTGTATGCTGCAGTATCTCTCTCCACACACAAGCCGGGCATGAGGCGAACTGGGGTTCGTCTGAAGTCTGAACGTTCCGCAACTGCCACGTGCTTTTTGTGCTGCGTTGCTCCAAGGAAAATGTGGGCAACGTGGGCGGTTCGAACAGTGAAATCAGTCCCAACTAAAGTGTTGCCGTGTTGGTTCCCCATCTACCTAGCGGAAGAAGGGAGCAGTCGCTATCTACAACCAAAACACCGACGTACACATGTAGCAATCACAGTGAGCCGGATAGGTCACGTCTATATCTGAGACGAGGAAACTACAGGACAGGCCAAATAACCCATGAATCTCGATCAATCATTGTACGCGAACAGTCCTACAGGATACAGTACACTCGGCTCGCTCGCTATCACCGGGACCACCACAATTCTCTAGACACAGTAAAAAACACCTTCGCAACAAAATTGCCAATGCGACATTACATTGCACCTTCAAACCTCGGCCATGCTGCCGAGCCAAAGATTAGTGCAGCTTCTCACTTGTTAGCGTTGATGGTTTTGAAAGGTACCCTGAGCCTCTGTCTTCTTCGACGGCCAACGGGGCTCGGGGCGGAAACAGTGTTATGACTTGTTCAATGGGACTGCAACTCAAATGTAATTCGCTTTTCAATTCGTTTCTGTCTGACCTCCACATCATCATCGAGAATAGCTCTTTTGTGCTCAATGAACGTCTCTCTGTAGAGAACGCTGGGATACGCGACCAACGTGAGGGAGAGGTGATTGATTCGTTATGTCATCTCCAAGTCCCAGTCATCCAATCCCCCTTCCGTTCATCCCTCCACAAACCCACACGAAAAGCTCTTCGGGTATATCCAATCCGAATCAAGCTGGCGAACAAAGACAACTAAAGATGTAACGACGAACCTCCTCTGTCCAATCTGAAAACGTCGTCTCCCTGGGTCGTAAGCGGAGCCAAGGAGAAAGGACATCTGCCATCAGCCGCTACAAAGTCCGTGACGAAATAAACAAAATGATCTTTGTGAAAACAAATGCCGCCGTACCCCCCACGGGAGCCACGATCTGCTATAGGGCAAATAGGGCGAACGAAGAAAAGGATAAAGAAACGGCCCAGAAATGCTGACGACCCAAGCCGCAAGAGTCGCTTGTGCAATGTCGAACAAGGAAAAATCAAGATGGATCCAAAATGACAAAGGGCCAATGTTTGATGGAGGGTGTCGTAGAATAGTGAGAGATCCGCAACCTCCGGGATATAAAAGTGCAAATATAGTGAGCGAGAAGCTGGTAAAATACAGGTAAACGGAACGCCGGTATGTGGTCTAAAAGCGGAAGTGCTCGGAGGGTTCTGGGTCGGTAAAAATGCAAGGGAAATGTAACGCGTGGTCCTCGCCTCCGGAGTATCTGGCCACAACAGAAGCGCTGTAGGTTTAGACCATATTCACAATGAGGTCGACCGTACAGATGAGATGACTCGTGAAGAGGAAGGGAAGTTGATACATCCATAACCAGCAATTTGCTGGTTCACTTCACCGGGCGCGGTGTGCTGCGGAAGCAAATGAATCGGATGTGCAAGCCCATCATCATATGAATATCCCCTTACAGGATAAGTTGTTTCAGGTTCCGCTGGATGATCATGTCCTGCACGGAACCCATGGTTATCTTCAGAAGATTGGTATCGGTCGCGTTTGTGAAATGCCCATAGATCTCCTTGTCCGGATTCCGGTTCAGCGCGCGGAACTTGTCCATAAAGTACTTGCTGGCCTGCTTGGAATCGTCCGGGGGACCATGATAATCAGTGAAACCGTGGTTCGTTATCGGGCTTCGGGGCAGCTTCTCCTTGAAAAGGTCGATCTTGTTGAGGAACAGAATCAAGGCCGATTTTGTGAACCAGTGAGAATTGGCGATCGATTCCCAGAGCATGAGGGCCTCGTTCATTTGGTTCTGCGCAAAGGTTAGCCTCCACCTTCTCAACAACATGCGGGACTTAGACGTACCCCATCCTTGTCTTCAACCAGGCACTGATCGTAACCTGAGATAGCTACTAAAAACAGCAAGCAGTTGACGTTCTCAAAGCAGTGAATCCACTTCTTCCGCTCCGACCGCTGGCCACCGACGTCAAACATACGGTATGTGAGTTGGCCCAAGTCGAAAACAGTCTCGGTGATACCAGTCGTTCGTAGCCTCGAGCGCAGCAAATCCTGGTCGCTAGGAACATAGTTCCTGTCCCATAGTCTGTCCAGATCCGAGCAGAAGCTGAATGAGAGGTTAGCGAGATGCAGAAACGCGGAGAGTGGATTGCGAACACATACTACTGAAGGTTGTCATGCAACGCAAACTCATTGCCCTTCTCGATAGCTTGCCTGACGCCTGAATCCTGCCATAGCTTCTTCGCTGGCTCGAAATATTCTAGTGGTAGAGGCTCGTCTCCCCTCATCTCGTAATCGACCATCATTTGTACCATGTTCTTCTGTAAGTACTCAAGTTAGTTGAAGAACCGCAGATATCAAGGTCCACTGAATCAAACTTGCCTCATTATCTTCATCCTCCAGCTTGATGTTGAATTCATTCATCGCATCAAAGATCAATCGGAACGACTGCAGAATGTTGGCGAAAATAACAGGCCTCCATTCCAGCTTCTCATTTTTGCTGAAACCTTGTGCATAGATCAACTTCATCTGCTTCAAAATCGTAGACTTTCCGGATTCACCAGCTCCTATTGATGCCAAATGTTAGAGTCGCCTTGGTCGCATACGCGCGCAATGGTCGCAGTGCAGGGTCTAGTAACAACTGGAGATCCGTACCTAGCAGCAACAGCTTCACCTCCTTCGACAGGCGCTTCTCATCCGCGCGGATCTGCTTGTCTAGCTCGCGCGACCGGGAGGCCTCAGCCTCATCGTCCTTTCTACGACCCCCGAAACACATCTTAATGGTATATGTGTTGAATCCGTGTTGCAGAGGCGGAATGACTTTCCAGAGGATCGGGAAAGATCCAAGTTACCCAGCAAATGAGACTTTCTATCGCTTTTTAGACGTTTCAGGCGGAGCGCTGGTTAATAGTACAGCGGGGATTCGCCTGCACGCGGACCGACAGCGATAGTGGGGGCCGCAATGATGAGAGATGCGTAGGTATGGATGGAGACCTGGAATGCCAGACCTGGTGAGATCCTGATGGGCAATGCGCAATCAACTGTCCGGGCACTCTTGTCTTTGTTCGGGCCGGCGATGACAGCTATAACAGCATGTGTCGTTAGGTCGAATCGCTTCTCGATTATGTCGAGGCCCAGTCAGTGGACGATGCTGGAATCGATCGTTCTGTATGTATTCGGTCGGTGGCTTGGCTTCGACGGACGGGTAAGTAGGCTTGCGTTTAGCAGCGGCAGCTCCTAGTCCTGAGGCGTCCGGGTTCGAACAAAATCGATACCGCGGTTGTTCTCGTGAGAAAAGCGTGGACGAGATGACAGTACAAAGAGACTAACGCAGATCAGACCGTTAGAAACGGGAGTAGAAAAAGGGTGCGCGTGGGTGGGAAGGGGAAGGGAAAATAAGAAAGCTGGGCAAAGACAAAAGAGGATGTAAGCGGCTTCCATGTATGTACATCACAGTAGCATCGACAACAATTGCAAGGGAGTGAGCTCTGCAGCGAGATAAAGCAGGCCGGACTAGTGAAATCACCGCAATGCAGAAATGACAGGGCCGCTCGTGAACCAGGGACAAGCAACGATGTAGCGTACCAGGGTTTGTGTAGCAATGGAGACAGGGACGATCACACCATCGTCGGAGATCAAAAAAAGCATGGGCGGGCGGGCAGCGCGGGCAACGACCTAACGGCGACGGACGGAACAAGGGAACGGAGCATGGGCAAGGCCGGAAACAGGAGGGCAAGCACTCCAGACGAGTCTTACAACCCGGTTTTACCTACCTCTACTGTAATAGTAAGGTACATACCTCTACCTCTGCCTACCTCCCTCTAGTCTAGGGTATCAGTTCTAGAGGTCTCTTTTCCACTCGGTTAGGTCCTTGTTGCCTCCAACTTCGGCCTCTGAACATGGAACTAAGCAGTGAATGGGTGCCAGAGTGTGACAGACCTGACAAGCGAGTGGGTGTGGTGGGAGCCAACCCACCTGCACACAAGGCAGTTCCGTCGCTCCTGCCACTCGCTCATGCCGCCCTAGCTCCCTAAAAGTACCCTACCACCTACTTACCTTGGTTCCATTTCTGGCCCACTGCTCTAATCCAAATTCCCCGTCCGGGTCGCCCCTGCCCATTCCACCATGCGGGCAACCGTGCCTGCCTAATGGAAGAAAGGTGCAGTGCGCGAGTGCCTTCCATGCCTTGGGCCAGTGTCACTCCCGTTTCGGCAGTGCCCAGGGCATCTGGTGGCTGTGCAGTTACCTCTAATGCCAACAAGGAATCTCAGGAATAGTCTCGATGTGGGTATTTCTTGCGCATCATACCTACCTCTAGGGAAGTGAAGACTGATCGATGCAATTTAGAAGCCCAATCCTCAATATTAGGTAGGTACCTTTCAAAAAGAAGGCCATGCACTACCGATCTTGACAAGATCCGTCACCAGGCTGGAGAGTGGAAGTTCACTTCTGTGAACGACACTGCAGGACCTCTGACGCGGGCGTTCAGGCATGGGAGGCAGGGGGCGTACCGGCAGATACACATGGTTGGACCCCGACCACGGCCCACCCTGCATATCGGGCACTCGTGGCTTCGCTCTTCTGCAGCAAAACAACCTCAGGCACGTTGTGAGACTTCAAGAAATTGCCATGTCCTAACTGAAGAACTGAGAGAATACTTACAGCACTTGGTCGGGTCGCTTTTGGTATGACCATGACGCTACAATGTTCATCCGGGCAACTGGCAATTGACCAAAGTGGAATTTTTCTTCGATGCCATCCGCTGTTTCGAAGTCCCCTTGTTGCCCATGTCCGCACATGCGCCATCACCACCACGCACAAGGGAGCCAGGGGGGCCACTCGAGGTAAGGATGCACAATACTAACCAAAGAAAGCCGTCCCGAGAGTGAGGACGACGACGAGAAACGAGCACACCACAGTCACCCGATGAACGGCGTGGACGGATTCGTCACCGTTTTCTGGGATTCACCTGGCTAAAAGCTTCCAACCACATGGTCCCGAAACATCGGAAGTAGATCGCACCCATAATCAGACATCTTGGCCGCCCGAAGACGAAGACGATAAATAGAAAGCCAAATGGTAGTCGGAAGACATCAACGCGTCAGAGCAAGAGCTCAAGTTTCTAACGCACACTACTGAGACAACTGCAGAAACGAATCCGACCTGCACAGTGTGAAATGGATAGATATTCTCCTTTCTCATTTTCTCAAACCACGGACTGTTGCCAAGCATCCAATAACTCCGGGTAATGGTCATCGGCACTTGCAATGGCAGTGATGGATCACAAAGTTTCCACTCGGGGAAGCGAGCGTTTTCCATCTTTTCTGACGGGAGATGACGGTGGCGATTCTAACAGGTACACTACCATACACTGCGCAGTCGGCCGTCCAGAGGTGGGAGATGAACTTGGAGGTTCATGCAACTGAAACACTGCGACCCTCCCGCCGCCCGCCTTGCTAGAATCTGCGAGTGTGTGTTCAGGGCAGTCCCATGAGGGCATATCCAGATGCTCATCTCGTTGTGGTAGACATACCTCTAGTGTAAGCTAAGCAGGAAGCTCATTCGAGCTGTCATGGCCCGCTCAATCACTACAGTACCTACCTAGAGCTTGTTCGGGGCCATGGCTGGTAAGGGGTACGCTGCCCGAGGGACCTATACTGTAGTGTAGACCATCTCCAACGCTCCACGATGACTAAGGGAACCCTCAAACCCCTGGCCAACTTTACTCCTCCGTATATCCCGACATCTTGGAAATTGCATCGCCTCTTACCCGCATTCATTATCCAGAATTTCTCCGATCTCCCCCTTCTTCCCCAGCTGAATAATCCAGCCTCACAGAATTAGTGTAGTGTACACAAAATTTGGTCTTTTTCCCCTGAGTTGGTCCCTGCGGTCCTGTCGCAGACCCTGAGCTTAAACTGGTTTGACTGCGCGAGTCGGGGGCGCCCTGACGACAAACTCAAGCTGGTGGAGCGTCGCATGGCCTCCAACCAATAGCGTTTTCTGAACCCTTCCAACATCTCCCCGGTGGGAGGTGGGGGGGGGGGGGCTTGTCCTCGTGAAGCATTGACCCATGACATACCATGCCCGAGCAGAGCAAGGAAAGCAAGCGAGGGCTTCGCGGATGCGGCTGGTTCACAGGAATCAATAGCACCGGATTTATTAAGCTTGCAGCACAGTGTCAAAATGACTGCAAACGACAACTCATTCTTTTTCGGGCTTGACTCCCGGCTCGCCTTCGTCTCCAAAACATAATGGCAGGCCGAACCACTATCGGGTCGCTCTTGGCCCTGTTTTGGGGTCATGTGAGGGCGAGAGCCAGGCAACAAAGCGTAAGAACCTTCTTGAGCCCAGGGGCTTTCGCTTCTCTATCCGTACCTATCGAGATGTAATGTCTCAATTTATCTTGGGCCTAGTCGGTCTCAATGATAGGCAAATTTACCGGGCAGTTGCTGGGCGGTAACAGAGCTCCAAAGAAACAAAAGAAGCAAACATGGTCGATGGGCGGTTGATGAAAAGTTACCCATCTCAGAATGTTCACAGAAACTCCAGGTCTTGGACCTTTACAGTAGAAGGGATGTGCTGCACGAGAAAAAAAAAACATTCAGGACCAAATCAACAACGAACTGCAAATAGGGGACATTGCCGTCTCTTTCAGCAACGACTGGACTGAAGGCCTCGTGGACCCTTTTCTTAGCAGGCAAGCTTTGTTCTGGACTCATAAAGCACTTTCACCATCAAAAGAACGTTAGTCGAGACGCCAGGAAAGGTGATGATCGTCCCGGTGGTGGACATCACGGCAGTTGCGCGTACGGCGTTGCGTGTGCTAGCGGCATATGCAGGGGCAGATTGTCGATATCACTCGCAGAGAACCTTTGTTCGAAAAGGAGGCCGGAACCGTCTCGATAAAAAACGAACAGGCAAGGCAGAACCGGCACCTCTCAACTCCCTCTTCTATAACAAGGGCCTGGCGTCCCAAAATCTTGATGACTCGAGAAATACTACCCTACTATGTACGACTGAAATGCCTCCAACAAGGAACCTACAACATGGAGCAAGCAATGGGGACATGTACAGTCGCTTTCTTGATATTGACATTCTGAGGCCCGCCACCCTGCCATTGCACTATGTAATAGCAACATGTCGTTTGGTCATCTTGAGCCTGTGAAAGCAAGACGTGCCGAGGAGAAACCATAGGAAAAATGACATGATGCGTTGCACTCGGTTCCAGCATACTACATTATACGAACGTTCGCCGGTCCCGTCAGGTTCGGGGAACCACTTCGTTGTTCTACGTACATTAACTTGACAATGGGACCCGGACGCCGTTATATTGATCGGCATCGGTGGACCCAGGGCAACTAATAGGTGGTAGAGCCGTTGATGGCGTAATGAAAGAACACGCCTGCACACCAAGAATGTTCTACCGGCCTAGGCTCGCCAGGGGACTCGGAGTAAATTGCATCCTCGGTTCGTCTTGCTGACGATTATCTAAAGACTGCATTTTGATCTGAAGCGGGTTGGCCCGCGAAGTTCATACACTCCATATAGTGTAAAATTCAAAGCCCTTTGTCGTACAAAGTGAGTACACTGTCCCGACTGCATATCTTACTTTTGTCGATCCATATCCCGATCTGGCAGCCAACTTGGGACCACCACCACCACCGGCACCACCGGCACCACATGGAGAGCAAGCTACGCTCACAGCCATGGTACAACCCACCACACAATTTCACTGTGCTGCCTGTGAATAACATTTTCTTTTGCTAGCGTATATGATATAGTCTGTTGACCCAAGTTCTCGGATATCAAGGTTCGACCTTGCTCGGTTGCAGTGTTTAATCGAAGTTGTACGACATGAAACGTGCTGGGTCTATCTGTTCCGCCCCAGGTCTATCTGTTCCGCCCCAGGCTCTCATCGGGCCCGATCCATGCATGAGATCGACATCAGCGACCGTAGTCATAGTGGACTTGGGAATAATTTACCTTCAGCCTCGTGTGAAATTACTTTCGCCAATGTCGAACACCAAAACCTCGGCCGGTACGAGCTGTAGTGGTGATCATCGGTTTGAAGCCTTCAACGTCGAGGAAGGAAGAAAACCTCAAAGCACGATCGAGAGCCACGTCTGCGTCGTCGTTATGCCTAATCTCACATGCCGCGGCTCTCAACCATAGCATAGTGAGATCACTGACTGCAGTCAGGATTTCTCGAAATGCGCTGGGTTCAGGCCACTCATCAACGCATTGATTCATGCTAAATGCTTCGTCCTGCGTGGCTCTCCGGCGTCGACCCGCCGTGTCTCGTTCGCTCGACCGCTCGCGATATGTGGTACAAATAAGTCTCACCTTCCCAACCTTGCGAGGAAAGTGCTGGTACACAGCACAAGCGCCATGTCCTAGCCAGCGATGACGCTACGCCCGAAGCCGATGTCCATTATGGGACCAAAAGAAGAACAAAAAATGCTGGCAGATACTTACTGTTGCTCGCGTCGAGCGTCCTTATCGGCTGAGCTCCCAGGATGACCCACGGCATGCCTGACTCCGTGTACCGTACCTCCAACTTTGGCATCGTGAATTGGTAGGTGAGCTGAACTGCAGTGCCTAGTACCGAAGGCATACTTAGGGTCCTGTAGAGGTATATAGTCATTCCACGTACAGTCCATTGTTACCGTATTCACCCCAAGGCTTCGAAGGCCGCCTGAAACCTCGAACGCCTCGGATTGAACACATGGGAAGCGTATGATGGATGAATCGAAGGTTCGCATATGAGTCGGAAGTATCGGGTCTGCTCATAGCACAGAATAAATGCCAAAGAAAGCCAAAGAGGAAACCAAGACAATACATTGGAGTATCTAGAAGATTTGAAACGGTAGACTTTCTGGGATCGTACATACGTTAAGGTGGTCTCTGTCATTGAGATCAAACTACATACCTACCTCTAGGTATGGTACACTACTGTACCATACACTACTGTCCAGTGCTCCTGTTGTCCTGCAGCTCTATTTCACAGTTGCTCCTGGCAACCATCCGATTGTTTTCCACGTGCTTCTGCAGCTGCACTTTCAGATGCGACAACGGCTCGAGTACAAGGTCTCTCCACAGTTGCACTGTCAGCCACAATTTCATTCGCCCATAGGTCGTGGTGCTGGAGAGGGAAAAGGTCCAGAAAAATTTTCATGTTGTTCAGAGACCTGCGTGATTGGTGTGATTAGACCTTTCAGAGTGCGAATTGTGCGTGGTCACTGGCCCCTCCAACGCAAGGGAATGAATTTGAGTTTTCACGCTGGCTTTCCTACTCCGTCGCTGCTTCTCCAGGACTCGAATCCTGACATCGTCCTGCCAAATCAACAACCGCTTCTTCTCCAGGTCGACCGGTCTCTACCAATCCTTCAAGATGTCCGAAATTGCTCACCCCACGATCCAGGGTACGTGTTTTTTCCGCTGACGGCCGTCTCTCGCTGCGCCGGCGTGTTACCCCTCCATCCATAATTCCATTGACGGGAACTACCTCATTGCGGGCCGCAAGCTGTCGCAACCCCGCCATGTGCATTGCCAAACACAACGGCGCTTTCTTGTGGCACACGCAACGAGGACCCCTCTCATGAGTCGGCTTGCACCAAGCCTCACGACACATGGTGTGCGCTTTCAGGAACAACAGTAATGGCACGTTGGATGTCTTGTTGTTGTCTAGCGGCACGGTAATTCGGGGGATCGCGATGCTATCGATTGCTGTCAAGGGCTGGTGGCTACCTTATTGCGCCAGCATGACCTGTCGTTCTTCCTCGTCCCAACGGACCTCATCGTACATGCAATTCTCATCGAGACAACAGGTTGCATGTCGATATGACTGGATGGCACACTGGCGTCATGCGAATTCGGCTTGTATTTGACAATATCAGACTGGCTAACCCATAGAACAGATGGCTGGTTCCGCGAGATCTCCAACATGTGGCCTGGCCAGGCCATGACCCTCAAGGTCGAGAAGGTCCTTCACCACGAGAAGAGCTTGTATCAGGATGTCCTGATCTTCAAGTCCACTGACCATGGCAACGTCCTCGTCCTCGACAACGTCATCCAGTGCACCGAGCGCGATGAATTTTCCTACCAGGAGATGATCACCCATCTCGCCATGAACTCCCACCCCAACCCCAAGAAGGTCCTCGTTATCGGCGGTGGTGATGGCGGTGTCCTCCGTGAGGTCGTCAAGCACGACTGCGTTGAGGAGGCCATCCTCTGCGACATCGATGAGGTATGTGCGATCCGATCCGCAGATCAATGACCCTGCATCCGAATTGCTCGCTAACCGCTTTCTTCCGTCACAGGCTGTCATCCGTCTCTCCAAGCAGTTCCTCCCCCACATGTCTGCTGGCTTCGAGCACCCCAAGGTCAAGGTCCACGTTGGCGATGGCTTCAAGTTCCTCGAGGACTTCAAGAACACCTTTGATGTCATCATCACCGACTCCTCCGACCCCGAGGGTCCCGCCGAGTCTCTCTTCCAGAAGCCCTACTTCCAGCTTCTCCACGACGCCCTCCGCGAGGGTGGTGTTATTACCACACAAGGTTGTACGTCTCCTTTACTCGAGAAAGATCGAGCCCTGAGTGGAATTGGTTTTAGGCCAGGCATCCAACCTGCCTGTTTCAATCCTATGCGGTCCCTCAGGAACCTACCTAGTGGTAGCTCATCTCGACTTTCACACATGGGACGCAAGTCCCTTCTTGGATTCAGATTTTGTTCGCGCTGTCACTGTCTTCAATCATCTCCTTTGTCCAATGTTAAACGACCTGGCACCTCTTGAAGCCCCAATCGCTAATACTTCTTTGTGCAAACAGCTGAGAACCAGTGGCTCCACCTTCCTCTCATCACCAAGCTCAAGAAGGACTGCAAGGAGGTCTTCCCTGTCGCCGAGTACGCATACACCACCATCCCCACCTACCCCTCCGGCCAGATTGGCTTCATGGTCTGCTCCAAGGACCCCAACGCCAATGTCAAGGTTCCTCTTCGTTCCTGGTCTCAGGAGGAGGAGGAGAAGCTCTGCCGCTACTACAACTCCGAGATTCACAAGGCCAGCTTCATTCTCCCCACCTTCGCCAAGAAGGCCCTCGAGTAAAAAGCCTGCCTGACGAAAAATAAATGAAATACTGGTGATGACTATATAACGCCGCCATGGCACCGAATCTTCATGGCTAGGGCCGCATAGCACAGTTTCCGGGAATGGGAAAGGGGGACAGTCGAGATATGTTGGCGGATCTCCAACGTGCTTCTACCAAAGATACCAAAGATAGCGGCGTCAGCGCAGGGAAAAGGGTGCTCTGGAAACATCGCGCTTTTAAACAACCCTGCGCGCGAGGCTGTTGAAACAAAATATATCGGATTCGCCTCGCAATGTTACGTACAAATCAGAAAAATTGATAACGTGATGGTTACACAACTGATCAAACGTTCAGAATGTAACACGCAAATCAATACATTACGATGTGGCCCGGCGAGTTAGGAACTCACCTTCGCCTGGCTTACGTCAGGATAGATATCAAACCTCCGCTGATCCCTTAGAGGAATGCCCGACCTCGCCTCCTCGATCTTTGTCCCGTCAAGCTCAGCACTCACAATTGTCTCGCTCTCCTCCGCCTCTACTAATACTCGGGCCATGGGGTCGACGATCAGGCTGTGACCATACGCATGGTAACTCGCGCTCATATCCCTCGCCGGACTGCATAAGGCCACGTAGATTTGGTTGTCCATGGCCCTCGCCTGTCCCTGCAGCCGCCAATGCAGCGGACCGGTTGTGGTATTGAACGCGCCCGGATATACGAGAGCAAAGCAACCCTTCCGGGCTGCAATCATGGCCAGCTCCGGGAACCGAATATCATAGCAGATGGCCACGGCGATGCGGCCGTAGTCGGGCAAATCCACCAGCGTCACGCTGTTACCGGGCGACAACACATCGCTCTCCTTGAACTTGATCTTGCCCGGAATATCGATATCGAACAGATGCACTTTACGATGCGATGCAAGCAGTTTGCCGTCGGGGCCGAAAACCAAGCTCGTGTTGTAGTATGTCTTTTTGTCCTCCGTGCCCTCCTCGATGGCGAGCTCGGGAATCGACCCCCCCACCAGGTAGATGCCGTTGTCACGAGCCATCGCGGAGAGCGCGTGGAAGGACGGGCTCTGCTCGGCAGTCGGAGGTGAAGGGAGGAGCTGCTCGGCGTACGAGGGGAAGAAGTCGCAGCCGTAGGGGGAGTTGAAGCATTCGGGAAGAACGACAATGTTGGCGCCGCCTGCAGCGGCCTCGCGCACCTTGTCGGCGGCATGCAAGAGGTTGGCGGACTTGTCGGCACCGCTGGCAAGTTGGATACAAGCTAGCTTGACTGGCTTCTTGAGGAGGATCGGGTGCTTGGTCGAGGAAGCCATCTTGCGGATTTGAGAATGAAGGAGTAGACGGATGGTGGTGGGAAGGGCAGAAAATGGATGGTGGTGGTGGTAAGTCGAGCTTTTCGGTCGGGTCAAGTTTGCAATAAGAGAGTTGGTGATGATTCGTATGGAGCGCGAAGTGATTGTTCGCATTGCGGTCTGCGGATTGCAGTGCTGACAAGAGCTGAAAAGGATGGAATGGGAGAAAAGAGTGGAGGGGTTCCGCGGTGTCGGTGCTCGGTAGCCCACGACGGAAAGCTGCCTTCTACAAGTAGATAGCTACCGAAGCCGAAGGCGGGCAGTGAGTGACCCCGCGCCAACTGGAGGGAGTGGGGGGCAGGTGGGGCGCTTGGGTGACTGACTACTGAGCCACAGAAAGAGCGAGCCCCAGCCGGGGGTGTGTGTCTATCTAGGTAGTGGGTGAGCGCCACACGATACATGGGTACTTCCCACTTACACCGAGCTCACTTTCCATATTGGGACTCTCTGTTCAAGTTGCGGAAGGAGTGTAACACCACTACATATCTAGAGGTACCTTTACCTGTCGTAGGCAACGATTACAGCTTCCTCGTCTAGCCTGATATGAAGTCCACGGTGATACCTACCTCTATACCTTGGTCCGGATCGTGCGCTCAAAACTGAATTCTCCACTGTTTCCGCATTTTCTCCCTTTCATCACGCCGAGTGCATTATCCAGAACACCACGCTCGCAGCACCGATAGCGGCTCGACGAATCTCCTACTCAACCTTCAAAGGGTCAACTACTCGCTAGAGCCCTCTGGTCGGTCTCAATGGGCTCTGCCTAAGCGATCTACAATTCCAAACATCTTTATCTATCGTCGACGACTTCCGAGCCCAATGGAGTACTCCTCTTCCGGGTCACGACTATGCGAGCAGCCATTTCTTTCCAGAAGACTTTCCAAGTTCTTCAAAATGAATTGGACCGAGGGAACCTTGTACCGCCATAGTCGTGGGAAGCTGCGGAAAGCCAATGCAGAAAAGCAACGTCAGAAGGAGTACTTTGCGAAAGCTCACATTCGAGCAGCTGAGCAAAGGGAGGCTAGGAAGAACGGTCCTCCTCTTATTTCATACCTTGAGCCAGGTTCAGCTTTACCAGAACCTCCTACAGACGCATTCCCCCCCAAGCAAAACTCTGCCCACGGTGTACCGCATCGGAGAGGAAGATGGGGTGCGAGTGTACCGACAGCAGAGGATACTCCAAAGTCGGAGCATCTCTTACCAACAGTCGACCAGTTTCTAAAGGAGCAAGTTGGCAAGGCCACTTCTACCAACACAGCGCCTTCTCAGTTGCTCCCAAAAGGGACACAGGTAGAGAGATTGAGGCAGAGGCTTCTTGCGAGCAAAGACTGGGGTGCAAGCCGGATTCAGTCCCCTGTCCAAGTCCACAATCGACCTCGCCCTATGCCACCGCATGTCGGTCCGACTCAACCTACAAGAGCAATGGAAGAAAAGCCAGCACATATTGCCCAGAGCAACCGGGGCCTGTACCCTCAAAAGCATACCTCTCATTTGCCTTTTCTTCGCGGGGCGGATGTGCAAATCCGCGTTGGAAGTCAAGAGAAGCGGCTCAAAAGCTCAACAATCGGCAGTGGAAGCCTTGCGCATCAAAAGCAGAATGCCTCAACAGAAAAAAGTCGACATTTCATGACAAGCGCGAGCGGTATGCGCTACCCAAGATGAGATGGCTTCTGTATACTAAATTTTTTTCATCAGACTGTGAATCCAGATATATGCCACCCCGCAAGCGAGTCCGAAGACGATCTTCATCGAATGCCGAAGATTATCCTTCTATACAAGCAGCATCACGAAATAGTGATAGCGATAATACACGTCATGTCGTGACATCAGTACCGAGCATCTTTCATCCAGTCCCTTTGCGAGTAATACCGAGTCATCTGTTGCTCTCTTCGGGGTCATTGGATTCGGCAAATAGTGCCAGCCATCTCGCTCAGGTTGGACGAACAATATCTCCTGTCCCGCCCTCGCAGAAAGCGGAAAACTCAACCTGGAAGGCGTGGTTGGAAGAGTCTAGCAGTGCTTTTGGTGCCCAAACAAATCCTGAACCGCATGAGCCGGTGGCACAGCCCAGAATCAGTCCTGGGGTAAGCGAAAGACAAGTAAGGCACCAAGGGTATTCACCACCAGTCCACGCACTCTGTACCGGTGAGAATGACGTTTCTCTGCCTGAACTTCAGCTTTTCAGTGCAGACGCACAATCAAATGTGCTTGGCCAATATGATAGACCTGTTGCCAATATTGGACATTCGACATCAGCTCTAAACCGGGGAAGACTGTCGGTATTGCTCGAAACGTCATCCATTAGTGCCGAAAAGACAGTAAATAATGCAGACCGGTGTATATCTGCTGTCTCCAATCAAGCAGTATCCACCCAATGTGAGCCCAAGAAAGGACTACATCGAGGTGACCAGATTGATGCTTGGAAGACATTCGTGTTTGGGGACGATGACAGTGAAGAGGTCGAACGAGACGCATTCAGTGAAGCAAGACATGATGCCGCTCGACTTATACGGCCATACGATGAGAATAGCCTTCCATCTATCGGGGACGGGGACCACTCTGGGCACGACAGCAACATTGCAATGGCTGGAACGTCTTCCCCTGGCAACGCGGAGGGATCAAATCCTTATGAGAGACACTTTGCCATCGACAATCCAAACCAAAGTCCCAGAAAAATCCATGAACCAGCATCAACAGGTTCACAGTCTACTGCAACCTCGGCGGAGGAACATGTTGTTATTCCGCGTTATACACCATTTGCCAACGGTCATGACAGTGTTGCCGTGGAGCATCCTTGTGTTGACACAAGTCCCATTAGTAACAAGCATGAGACAGCCGAAAACATAACGATCGCCATGTCAGACGCATCAGGCGAGTCGGCCTCGGTAGCGATTTCGGTACCCACATGCCCAAGTGCGTCTCTAGTAGTTAAACCAGCTCATTCTCGACTTGGGGCCCCGGATTCTGGGGCACAGTTTCGATTTGCGGCGCCGAGACCATTCGTGGGTAAACACTCTGTTCCATCACGCAATGACCGCCCTTCAGCAGCTATTGCTCCGGTCAGTCTTAAACGGAAAAGGGGTAGACCGAGAAAACGGGCGCGTGACGGGAGGGCTGATATACGGGCACTACCAAACTACAGCGGCGACCCTATTGAGGAGATTGAGGATGACGATGATGCTCCGCCGCCATCTTTGTTTGGCTCTCTGGACGTTTGTTATGACCAGTGATACCATATCTGAGACAACCATCGTGAAGTGATGGCATGCACCGAGTTCCGTGTCTTTAGATCGTTGTTATTTCATGTATTTCAGGCTGCTTGGTGTTGTTACATGATCTTCTTTAGATAATTACCATGAAGTCCGAGGAGGTAAGTCACCATGCAGCATTGTTTGGTACAATCCTGAGCCTAAATACTGCGTCATTGGGTGACACATGAACGAGCATATGTAATTGTCGCTTTGGCGTTTTCGCAAGACAATAGCTCTGGAACAAGCCAAAGGTTTGTGCCCCGGGAACAAAAAAGCAAGCATTCCCTCTACAAACTGTAGCTCGTGTTTCCATGTCAAGTCCATAAGCTAGCTAAGCTAGCAAGACAGCTCAAGGGTAAGGTAAGTAGTATTGAATCATACAGTCCTTGGACTGTGGCTTCACAGGCCTCCGGTCAGGAAGAGCAAATTGAGTTTTTTTTTCTCTTCGTTTTCCGCCGTCTCTGGACTCACCCAAGTGCCATGGTCTACTTCCAAACACTATAAGATGAAGACATACTTGCAAAAGGCATAACTTTGGGATTTTCGATTGATTGACACGGAGACTTGCACAGACCGGGACTAGTGAGCCCGTACCTGCATTTCAAAGTTGAGGCAACAACTATAGGAAGGAACTGGTTGCTGGCTGAAGGAAATTTCATCCGGCGAATCTGTTTGACCCAGATCAGATGGGACTTTCACGTGAATGCAAGAGGTTTTTTTTTTTTTTTTTTTTTTTTTTTTTTTTTTTTTCCCTCCTGGAAGAGGGTGAAGATTTTCTTGGCCTTGCGAATTTAGCCTTTTTGGGATTTCACTCGCGGCATCCGCGATCTCGGTCCATAATTTCGTGTGGTTGGCGTATGGAAGATGGAACGCCGGAGGGAAGACCCGGAAAGGGCTGTCATTCCGCTATGACTGACATTGGCACCGGCGGTGCGACGTTGGGCAAGGCTCGCTAGATCCAAAATGCTCGTTCATGTGTATGTAAATCATCAAAACAACGGCGACACACAGCAAAAACAGGAAAACCTAGAGACAAGGGACCGCCCAGCGGCCACGGCAAGAGGAGAGCTATGCCCATGCGAGCGTACAATGCGGCATATTGTGTAAGACGAGAACGGACCGAGCTTCCCCAAAAGGTTCCAGAGCGAAAAACTTGTCGACTGGTCACTGATGGCAAGCCCCCAGTGCCCCATCATGATTTATTCTGGACTCCATGGGTTCCAGATGAAGTTCGGTCCAAGTCAGATGGTAGCATTCTCTTCTCTTGGATGTTTCTGCTCCACAATTAGGTCGAATGGGTTTGTGACTGTGTGATGGGAAGTCACTTGTTACGTACGCGTATGTTGGAATTTAACGCGTGTTGGGAAAACATCACATCAGCCCGGTCATGCTCAGAGCGGAGTTCAAGTGGGAAGAAAGGACGGTTCAAACAAACCAAACTGGTCCGTCTCTGTCACAGTGATTTGACGGACTGGACGTAAAACCAAGCAATTGAGCAAGCTGAGGTGACCAAAGGAACTTTTTTTTACTGAGGCATTTTTACAACAGGGAGTTGGGTCTCGTCGTAAATGGAAAACGGACAAGAAGCGGTCTGAAACCCATTATTATTTGTAACATATTTGGTATTTCTGGTCATCCGGAAGCAGGAGGCTTGGAATGGAAGGCAAAGCAGAAAAGGCTAACAACAGGACGACAACAAAAGGCATATGATTTGACGTCTCGTCTATTTCCGTCTCGTCCTTTTAGAACGTGTTTTTCTTGGCCCTTGCCAGCAGGGAAACGACGCTACCGTCGGAGGTTATTGAAAAAGAAAAAAGGCTGGAACCACACTTTGACATCCTTACGGGAAGATCTCGGGAAAGGCCGGGGTTCATGGGGAGCAGTGATCTGAATGCGGGGAGGAGCCGAGAAAAATGCGGGTTGGGCAAAGACATGGCAGACTCTGGGGAAAGAACGGAAAGAGGCGTGGATCTGTGGCCAAGCCCAAGGGAACAACATACCTATGCAGGGGCTCACGGAAAAGGAACGGGGGTTTCATTTCTATGGAAGGTGTGGTGGAACTTCAGCTAACATGTTTCGCGATGATCTACCGCCAATTCCGTTAGTGGATCTTGCAGTTCGTCTTTTCCCAACCTTGTCCAAAGAGCAGATGGAAAGCACACACAACCGCAGAATCTCATGAGTG